TAAGGCAAAAAGCAATACAGCTGCTTCTGTCCCACCAAAATTGATTTCTGGAAAATTTTGAGGCTTCTCTTTAGTCGATATTAGGTAGGTAGCTAGGTCTTTTCAAAGATTTGAGGAGCTGCCATTTTGGAAAAAAAAGAAAAATCAAACAATTTCTCACGATTAGACATTCGAACTGTGAATGGAGCAAAAATCGCAAAACCAGTTTGACTATTGCGGCAGCGTCGGCCTATTCCCTACTCTATGGCAGGAATTATGGACACAACGGCCTATCCGTTTTTTGAGAAGACCCCATTAAGTTGCTCCACGATTCGGCGATTCTCCTGATCGGCACGTATCCGCCAGTTGCCGCGATTTTTTGTCGCGTGCGACGCGCGACGTGTACTTTTGAGCGCACTCTGCTTTACGTGCTAATGTTTGAGCCACTACTTGATCGATTGCACGGAAAAAAGATCAGATCGAATAGTAGTTCCATGATGCACCTAACAGGATGTAAAGCGTTGTGATAAACATTTGACGAGGAGAGATGAATACACTCTAAATAAATCAAAGATCGAATTCGTTTTGATTGGAGTGGGTGAAACATTGCGGTTAATATCGTTGGGCACACCCAACTAGGACATTTGGCGTCGACTATGTCTTCTTAGCCATTGTTGCGTGCAATACGGCAATCTTACGTGCAGTCACACAACAGCCGATTTTGTAGGGACCGCGGGGGAGGAAGGCGGAGTGCTGGAACTATAAGGAGCGATTTGAAGACGTCAAAACGGGATTGATTCCCATTGACGGTGAAACGGAAAGAGTTACTTGATAATAAAAGGGGATAAGAGTCAAGGGGGAGATGAGCAAAGTCAACCATCTATCTGTAGGTACATTCCCATTGGGGATCGTATTTGTGGTTTTTGGAAAATGGAGGTTTTATCCGGAGTTTTCAGAGAAGAGCTGTGGTGGCAGAAGTGACAGGCTTGTTTTGCAGGTGGAGAGAAATTATTTGAGATTTCGCTTCACCTTGTTTCCACTCCCGACTCGACGACGATTTCACACAGGGATGTTGTGATACTGGAGGCGGAGTTGGAGTGTCAAGTAATTACAGGTTCAACAACATTACGAAAGCCATCCAT